GCTCCCCGGGCCGAGCCCAGCCGTGTCCCCGCCGGTCCCGCCGCCCCCGCGCTGCCTTTCCCTGCTGCGGGTTGGTCGGTATTGTTTGATTTTTTTTTCCCTTTCCTTTCCTCTCCCCTTAATTAAACCAAAAATAACCCAAAATGTTTAAAATTGCTGCCGGGAGATGGAGGGGAAACATACTAAGCGAGCAGATGGGAGGAATAAGCCACTGTGACTCCATAAGTAAAATGGCCATGGAGGCGGTGAAAAATGAAACTAAAAAACAACTGTTTTCTATTTACAAATTTAAATAAACAGAACAGCCTTCCCTGCGGTGTTTGTCTAAGTGCAGCAGCATTGCTGCTGTGTAGGTCATGAAAAGGTTGGTGCATAGTTTAAAACTTCCCATTCTGTTAATTTCTTAAAGAACAGTCGTTCATAGTCTAAGCACAAAAGCTCATGATTTAATGAGGAACAGAAACAAAATCTCTGATTGTTGGTGTTTCAAACTTCATTGGAGTCCTCTGGCAACCACAAGTTGATCCTCTGCAGCTTCAATACCCTTTAGCCCTCCATATAAGAGTACATGCTGAATAGAGGACAATGCCTGGTTGTTATGTTTATTTACCCTTACTACAAGCTGGGTTAACCTCTTCAAAACAGCTTTACTAAGCCCGTTAACCACACGGCCCACATGACCTGTAGCCGTATCCCTAATGTGATGTAAATCTGACTCGAGACCATATGCACAAATTCTACCGCATTGTGTCTCCGAAAACTACAATTTTATTGCCGTCCAACCCTTCCCAGGCTGGACGCTTCCAGGAGGAAACGCTCTGAATAGCCACTGCTTCAAAAAAGATAAAAAAGTCAAGAGTCCTGTATTGTCAGAGCAGTATTTTTAATGGCTGTTACACATTTTCAGAAAGGAGGGGGACAGGGACATGCGAAGCTGCACAGGGTAATAATTTTCATGATTTCCACCGGTGTGTAATTATTTGAGGCTTTGCCCTTTTGGACAAGAGTTCTGCACCGGAGCAGGAAGAAGTGTAGATACAAATAGAAGTGATTGACTCAGTTTTCATCTGCTCGTTTAACAGAGCTCATGGTTTATGTTTTGCCTTTCTCCTTCAGTTAGGTCATAATCCTGCATTTGTAGTAATTATCGTGATGTCACACAATTGGTGATGTAACTTTGTTGCAGGCTACGAGTAGTACATGGGCCATGTAGGAGCGAGCAGTGGTTTGAGTTGGGAATAATTTTAGTAATTAGCAATTCTGGCAAGCAAATTATGACAGATCTGCAGAATGGAAATGAATTTCTGCTTAAGCTTGACATCTTTAATTTTTTTCCCCCTTCCAAGTATTATAGTCATCTTTTAAAACAGCTACGGGGGCCCCATGGCGAGAGCTTCATTTAACAGCTCATTTTTTCTTGATGGCTGTGGCAAGCGTAACAATGTTCTGTGCCTGCTTCAGTAATGGCATGTCGATCATGCTCCCGCGGAAAGTAAACGCTCCCTGGAAAAGAGAGAATATAAACTTCCTGAGAGGACCTCTGGAAACTGTAGTTGGCTTGTCTTTTTATTTTAAAACACATCCATTCATTAAGGAACATCAGCTCCCACAGGAATCTGGAAGGAGTTTTAGAAGACAAACTAACAAAGAGGGGGCAAATGCATTTAAAGAAATGCGGTGGGTGCCGAGTGCTCCAAACAGGAGCCAAAAAGAGGGAGAAGATAGAAGCCCAGTGTGCAGCCTGCCTGTTTCAGCCTCTCTAGCTGGCAAACATCGAAGGCCAAGAGCAGGAGGCCATGCGCATCGGCTGGGGGGCCTGGCGGGCACTGCATCTGGGGGGGCAGCTCTGCTCCCCATGCCCAGCATCACCCTCCAGCGCCCAGGCTGTGCTGTAGGGCCGGCGGGAAACTGTCTGCAGATGGAGGGCAAAGCCACAAGCCTTATCTTCATCAGAAAATAGCAACAGGGGCTCTGGGGGGGTGGGGAGCGGAGGGAACTTCTGCTGACTTAGGGGTGTGTTGAGGTTGTGCTGCTGTGCTTCTCCGTCGGGTGTCCAGTGCTAAAGATAGGTTGGGCCTGTGCTTAGAGCAAGGGGCTGAGATGAAAGCTGGAAAAACAAGTGGCTGGCATGGTCATATTGCCCAAATCTGCTCTGGGGCCAAGGTAAAGGCCACCTGAGCACTGCGGATGCAGAACTGGCCAGTGTACCTTAGTGGTGGCCATCTGAGAGCCAGGGCACATTTCAGAAGCCGCTTTGTATTTCAAGGGATTTTGTGGTGGTACCATGGTGACAAGTTTAAAATCATTAACTGTGAATTACAGTTAAATCTTAAACAGAAGACACATGTTTTAAATAGGGACAAACCTCACTTGTTCCTTTCGATGCTTTAATCCACGTGTTGACCAAATAGAATTTTGAAGATAAAAAAAGTGCATCAAGACATGCCAAAGTTCAGTAGGAAAAAAAAAAATCTTATTTGTAATTCTGACAGTACTTTGACACATTCTTGAAAAATACAAATACAAAGATGCAATCCCTTCCCTGAAGAATTCAGAACTGAAGGCCTGGCCCCAGCGTTGCACAGGGCGTCTCTGTGAAGCACTGCACACCCTTTTAATGTCCTGCCGCAATCGATACGGGATCACAGGCTGGCCTTAGGTTTGACATTTTTTTTTAGAACGGGGAAAGAGGGATAGCAGCATGTGTGGCTGTGCATGCATAGGGAGGGAAATGCAGAGGAGAGCAAGCTATTTATTGTTTTCTGTTTTTCATTTAAGGCTTGATAATAACTAAACAGAGGACTCTAATTAAAGTGGAGTGAAAATATAACCTGTTTACAAAAATGTTTTGGAAACGTGTGACACATCTATCTTGACTGAGGCAGTATTAATTAAATAGTAAATCACATTCTAGAACAACTAAGACAAAAATACACCTTGAACAGTAATCTAATACAAATCAATATCATTGCATGTAAGAACAGGCTGTATTGAAGCCATTAAAAGCCTAACAGTTAAAACTATTATTTTATTCTAAGTAGGATTTCCTACTATAGCTTGCAGTATTTTAGGTGGGTTTGGAGAATAATCAGACTGACAGATATTCAAGGGTAGATGCTTCAGATCGAATTTCTTGTCTGCAATCAACCCTACATTACCCCCAAAACAACAACATTATTGTTATTAACATTAATAAACCTTTAAATTAACCAACATTAATATTACTATTATTACTTTTATTTTTATTATTATTAATAACACACCACTTTTTATCTTAACAACATTTCAGACATTTTCACTTAAACTTTTAAACCATTACAGAAAATGCAGCCTCAAACTATTCCATTTAATAACTGTTGTACAGAAATCAGGAATTAAGTAAACATTTTATGGTATAGGACTTTTTCAGAATAATTCAGGTCTATGCAGTGATCTAAAACTCCTGGTTAGTGCAAGATACATTTTTTTTTTCCCCTGTAAGAAATACATGCTTTAATTTTGCCTATTTTTCTGCAACCTTTCAGTCAAATATGTGTTGCTTAAAAGAGAAATTTGCATGTGGGATGACAGTGATAAGTAGAGATGTGTTAAGGTCTGGAATGACCCTTTCTAGTTCTGTGAAATGGCTGACTTAGGAGCACAGTTATCCCAAGTACTTGCAATAGTTTACAGAAAGAGATAGGTGCCTACGAATGGCAGTTCTGATCTCTGGTGGTCTGAATCATGATCAGGAAGGTCTTATCCCTTCCATTGACCGGACACAGGATGCTCTTAAGTTGGGTACCTCTGTAGGTGCCTATGCTGGAGCATGATCAATCTGGGTCAGAATGTATTTTTTGAAAGTAGGAATTAATTAAACAGCATGCCCGCCCTCTCTTCATTAAAATAACACGTTAGAAAGGAAATGAGGATAATAGTGTGTGTGTGGACACATGAACACTAAACCACTTGAGATCTGCAGTAAGTTCTCTTCTTGTCAGCGTGCGGCTGTAGTTTGGGTTGCTAGGAATTTGAATTCTTGAAGGAAAAAAATGCTTTTATTTTTTTTTTTCTAACAGCAAAGAGTAACATGAAGAAGTTGGCTTCTGTGTCTGTTCACTCCAAGGCTTATTTTCTCCCTGCTAATTTGCAGCGTTGAGCTAAAGTCCAGAAAAATAAACCGATTTTAATGCCCTTGAATATACTCTATTCACTGCCTCTCTTTTCACCCACAGGTTTCAACAGATACGAAATACCAGTAATTATAGCTTTGTTCCCATGCTCTCTTTTCCAATTCTGCTAGATGAAATTTGCCTTTAGCATTCTTTTGATTTTCTCTCACATGAATATAAAGAAAACAAGACTTTCTATAAACACCATTTGCTTTGATAGCGTTAATCTGGGGATTAATTTAGCCATAGATCTAAATTTTATTTTTGGCTAATTTTCTCAATAATCTCATGCTTCCAGCCTGCACTTAGACTTCCAGTAGTTCAACTGTGGGACCTAAGGTCTGTTCTTAAAGAAGCTTGCAGTGTGAATGGGAGTGACAGCGGGTGCATGGTGTGAGGCTGGGGTTTGCATCCGTTGCGTTCGGTGGCTGTGGTTCTTGCTTGCCATGTAACCACATAAATCATTCAGTGGCAGCCTTTTCAGAAACCTGTAAAAGGATCCTGCCATCATGTGAGTCAAATGTGCCAGACTTGCCCTGGGAAGAGACAGGCCCCCCAGGTAAAGGCTGACGAAGGAGCTGGGAGATGGAGCAGGCGGGAGGCAGAGCTGCAGCCAGTGGGTGCAGCCTTCAGGTGACGATGCAGGGGTGCAGTTAACTCAGGTGGGATGAGAAGTGGGAGGAATGTAGGACAACCGTGGCACTCACCAGAGAGTAGACTGGAATTGCAGCCCTTCTGAGGAATGGGTGGCTCTGTGGGCCAAAGACACCACCCCTGTCTGAAGTGATGCAGCACACATTCTGCTGTCCTTACCCAGTGGCATCCTTCACGCAGCAACACAGTGAAGGTGCTAAGGGTGAAGCCCTGGGAGAAATAGGGTGACCAGCCCATAGGGAATGGAAGCTGTAAGAGGGCTTTGGCTGGCCTGCACTGTACATCTGTGAAGGCAGCACAACACAGCAGAGGGGTTTGTGTTTGCACAACCAGAGGGGTTTGTGTTTCATAATCTTTGGCTTCCCCCAGCCTGCTCACTGTACACCTCTGCCAGGGCAGACTATCAGGGAGGAGGCAAGGAAGAAAGGCGAACAGACAACTTTTCCCCTTTGTCATCGTGCAGACTAGCTAAAAGTCCTTCCCAGTCGACTGAGAAGTGAGGAAAGACTGAAAGGTGTTTCCTTCTGGATAGCTCTGTGAGAGCAGAGCAACAAGAAGGTGGCAGACCCATCAAGCTCCTCTTCTCTCCACCTGGTCACTGAAGCTGCCCAAGTCACCATTCCCCCATATTCACCTCTTGCATCAGGCCGCCTTCTCCAGGCTGAATGATGCAGGACCAGTACTGTGCAATTTCCTGTATCCCCCAGGAACCATGTAGCATTTAAATACAAGAAACACACAATGACATTTAATGCTCTGTTAAAAGAATAGTAACATTTTTAAAAATATAACAGCTATTTATGCAAGATGCAGGCCATGCTGAGTAAGGTCTCAGCAGCTCCACTTTGAATTTCAATATGTCCTAAAGTCCCTTGCAAATGGAATGGAGAGGGCTTTAGCAAATACAGAAGACAGCTAGAAGGGAATTAAAATGACAGAAAACTGCTAGGTTTTTTTTTTTCAGAAGGGAATAGCAAAAAATTATAGTCTTGGAAAAAAGAGAATTGAGCATGGTCAGCCCCAAGTAATAATAAGATCCAGCCTACAGACAAGGGAAGTGATAAGGCAGGCTTGGCAGAGAACAGCCATTTTCACAGGTCAGGAGCTGAAGATATAGGCTTATGAAAAAAGGGGGTAAATCAAGTTATGCATTAGGAATAACTAATGCAGTAAGTTTCCAGGTGGCTGTGGAGAGACCAAAGAGATGCAGAACTTTGTAATACATCAGTTTGACAGAACTTACGCTTCTCACTTGTGAACCTCCTTTTGGGCAAATGCAGCCACTACCAAAACCAACTCAAATCTAGCCAAGTTCAACATGGAATTGAGGGCTCTTCTTTGACAACTTAGGAGACAACTCTAGCAATATGTGGCTATGGATCTTGGAGATGGCTCTTGTCATATCTATATATCATCCTTAGAGATTCCCTTTACCTATAAGAAATGACATATACCAAGTTGCAGAAAGAGTCTCAGCATTGGTCTGTTACTTGCCACAGCCAAAAGATGAACACATGAATGCAGTGTTTCTTGGAACATGAAGACCTCTTTTTATGTGTATGTATGTGTGGCAGCCTCTAGGAACATTTGCTCTGTGAAACTTTTGGGAGTAGTTAAGAGCTTGGTAAAGCTATACAACCATCTCATAAGCAGAATATATGCAAGTTTTTTTTAATGGGAGGAAGCATTTTACCTTTC